TGGGAACAAAATCGATCTTGTTGGCAGCATACCACTCCAGAACCACCTTGGAGTAGTGGCAGCTGGCCAAATCGAGCCAAAAGATGTCTTTGCCCCTATGCTTGCAGATGAATGGCAATACACGCTTTTTCAGGCATTCTTCGATGTCATCGTCGAGGATGTGACGAATGGTTCCGTTTTCAGGCCACAACTGCAAATCACTTGCCAAATCATGGCCTTCTTCGTGAACTTGTCGGCAAACACGAACTTGAATCTTCCCGGCACATCCCCACGTCCAGTCGCGATTTAAAACTTTTGACCGGGAAACTGCTTAAAATCGAGTTTGACGTATGTTCCGTCATCGATCAAAGTGCAGCCCTTGTGTTTCGTCAAAACATGGGCGAACAAGAGCCTTGCACGCTTTTTGGCCACCGGATTCTGCTTCATGTGCCGGTTCGGATGTTTACTGGCTTTGTACGATTTGTATTCTTCCCTGGCAAGGATGTTTCGCACCGTTTGAAAGTTGGCGTTGTACCTTCTGGCCACATCTCGGATCGAAAAACCGGTATTGGTTTTAACGTACCTCAACACCTTGCTGCGCAGCTGACGATCCCTGGTTCCAGTTTTTTCGTAGGTCTGCTGATTCCTTTTCACACTCAGGCTTTCCTTGTTGGTTTTGAGCACTCGACAAACTGTTGTTTTCGGCATCTTCAGCACTTTAGCAAGCTTGGAACCGGACCACTCCGGATTTTCCAGGTGTTTGTGATATTTTTTCTTCTGTCGAGTTCCATTTGACGTTATTTCTGAACGCGATCGACTACTTTGATCAAACTTTCTTTATGACCGACAATGCCATTTTGCATCTTCATATCACGATTTTGAATCCAGCCTTATTTTTGAAAAGGGTCTATAGAAACATATCAAGCTTATCTTCAGAAAAATTTTACTCGAAAACTGTGTGTCCGATCGGTTTGGTGTCTTCCGCAATATTGCAGGTAATAGATGAGACTATTTGAAAAAAATATGCACTCTATAAAAATTCAACCAACTTTTTTTTTAAATTTCAAATAAAGTCTTAACATTTTTGACATAAAGATGGAGAAATGATGGACAAAAAAGTTCTGATTTAAAAAAACTCAAGTTTGTGGAAAAATATCCAACAATTAGTCCAATTACTGTTTCGGTAAAGACCAGAAAAAGTAATTGGACTAATTTTTTGATATTTTTCCAAAAACTTGAGTTTTTTTTTAAATCATAACTTTTTTGTCCATCATTTCTCCATCTTGACCTATAGTGCAATGATTGGCATTTTTTGCCCCCTAAAACATATCAACAAATAAAAATTTAAAAAAAATAAATCTTTTTTTGAGAAAAAAATGTTTTTAAGATTTTATTTGAAATTTAAAAAAAAAGTTGGGTAAATTTGTTTGAGTGATTTTTTTTTTCAAATAGTCTCATCTATTACCTGCAGTATTGCCGAAGACACCAAACCGATCGGGCAAACAGTTTTCGAGTAAGAATTTTTTGAAGATAAGCTTGATATGTTTCTATAGATCCTTTTCAAAAATAAGGCTGGATTCAAAATGGCGATATGAAGATGCAAAATGGCATTGTCGGTTACAAGGAACGTTTCTGCAAATTTCCAACCAAATCAAAAAGTACAAAAATAAACCGATTTGCGAATTCATAGGGAATTGCTCATATGAAGGGATGTCGGTAACGCGCTCGAATAATTGAAAATTCAATAAATATTTAATCGAATAGCTGGAAAAATCTTTACGATTAATCGTTAATCGAATAATTCGATAGTGTAAATTCATGTTTATTGGTGGTCTTTCGAAAATGTCGAACAGCAGAATTGCAACCAGCAAGCGGTGCGATGCTAGTTTTCATTGCTATGACAACGACTGAATTAAGGGGCTTAGAAGCAGAGAGGTAAAAGTCTATTCTCTTCATAAATTTCTGCTAGGCTCTTCTATCAGCCAGAACAACAAACGTATCAATGAATGTGTTTGCCGTCGAGTTATTAACGAAACAGAATGTCGAGGAAGAGAATCGATCAAATCACTTGCACCCCTGCTTCAGAGTTTGGTTTCAAGATTTCAACTCTGGAGAGCATTTTGTGTAGTCGTTGGAGGCGTGTGGTTCTGAATATGGCGATGAGTGTGCAAAATGTTACGCAATTGCGAAGATCGATGGCGAATGCCACTTCGACTTGTTTCGTCTACTAACGATTCTCTGATGACCGTGTTGGGGAAGCAGCATATGCATGTACGTAATTGGTGGATTTTTTTTAGTTATTTCGACGCTTTTGGACAATGTTTGACATATACCACTTTTTCAATAGTTTATTGTTAAAAATCGAATGTCGGAAGTATTGCTATCAATTTGTAGAAATATTTCTGATCAATGGGTGATAAAGTTATTGAAATTGGTCCAGGGGCAGTTGAGTTATTGACGTTCAAAATCTTTCATAAATTCGTTACATGTTCCATTTTCGGTTTTCACAAAGTGTACCCCTATATAGAAATCACAGACGTACTAACAAAAACTAATATGTGGTGGTGAACTATAACGAACAAAGTTTGGTGCACAGGTAAACAAATAAGGCACACGACGCCTCTGATGGTGCCTTTAATTTGGCACTTGTTGCGTCCCATTTGGTGCAGTGGTTGCTGAGAAACACACCGTTCTTTATTTCGTTACACACACACACACATTCCCGAATAATTTTGAAACATTTATTTAACTCCTTTATATCGTTTCGCCTATTCTACTACTGCAACCTGCAATTTTCCCGGAACGTTTAAAGTGCATTCAAAGTGGTTTCCTTCGAAATCTTCGAATCTTCCGCGTCCCAAATAAGTGTAATTAGCTACACTAGCAGGTTCTAATAAAACGCATCCCCGCGCTCTTTCAAATCTTATGTTTTTTTAAATTATAAGCCAGTGCCTCTTCGAAGGCCATACAGATAAGGCACCACCTCAAAACAAACCACAAGCCAAAAAAAAAATCATAACCGAGAGCATAATGGTTCGATTGGGGGAGAGTAATTATCGCTCGCCTGCTCTATAGGATACTCTCATCGTCTCATCTAGCATCCCGCAGTGCACCCGCGCTCACACTACACGGCGAATGAGAACGACCCAAATTTGAGTTTAGTTCACTCATAATCGCCAAAAGTGCAGGAACTCAGCGATGAATAAAATTTGTCTCATGGTTTCCTGTGGAAAACCTAAAAAATCTGCCGGAAAATGAGGAAATTGACGAAAATTTTATTCAGTCTCGAAGTAGTACCAATAGACTGAGTGAATTCAATCTTTCCTTTTCTCAAATTCGGGAATTTTTCCCTGGAAAAACCTGGGAAAACATGAGGCAAATTTAGGCATCGCTGAGTCCCTGCACTTTTGGCGATTATGAGTGAACTAAACTCAAACTTGGGTCGTTCTCATTCGCCGTGTAGCTGTTGTTGTTGTTGTGTTGAATTGAGTAGGCTACTATACCTACTATATTACGTTTCGTTTGATTCCGATTTCAGTCCGTCAGTTAGTCAGTCAGTCAGCAAGCCGCCCGCCTGCCGTCAGTCAGTTCAAGTTTTCCGTTCGTCATTGATGCATCATATTTATGCTCGTTCGTTGTCCGTGTCGTTGTCGTTGCCCGTCATAGTGTCGATAGTAGAAGAAGAAGAAGCAGACGATTGCACTGCGTAGCGGATCGCGTAATTCGCTCACGAATTGGTGAAATACTATTTACTTAGTTGCAACTCCGCGCTGTTCGGTTCGATTAGCCCGCTTGTGGATATATTATCACGCTAAACCATCCACCGACCGACGAGAGTTGCGCAGTGGCGATTTCAACAGTGAAAGTGGCCGTTTATTTTGTACTACCTAGGTGCCCCTATAGAGCGCAGGGGTTGTTTCAAATCAACCAGCGGAGTAGAACCGCGAAAAAAAGGTTAGTGCAATTCCCGAAAATAGTTTTTCGTTTGTGACGTCGATAGGTTGGTTGATTTGCTCAGCTGTTGTGGCCGGCGACGAGAGTTGAGTGGTTTGTTTGACGCGTTGTCGCGACTCTGTGTCTGTCTCTCCCTCTCTCTCTCTCTGAAGTGCTCCTGACCTTGACGGAAAGGGTTTTGCTAGGCTTGTGAGAATTCATGACATATTCCCGGACGCCGGTGAATGTACCCGAGCAAAAGGGTGTGATTAATTAAGAGGATGGAATTGAAGCTATGAGCTAATTTTAAATGGTCCTTAGATCGATGGAACACTTGAAGTGCTTAAACGGTTTGTGCACAGTCACCAAATAAGTTCAAATTTTGGAAGGCTAATTAGGACCCGACTTGGAACCGTTCATGCACTGGGGAGCAACAATTTAAAATTTTGCATCAGTCTAATGGTCATGCATTAAAAAACAGTGTTAATTCGGAAAACACCAAACGTACCAATGCATTTTTAATCGGGTATTGCCATGCTTAATTAGGAACAGTCTAGCAAGCACCTGAACGAATTCAATTTCCACACTGTACGATTGTTATTTTTCACAGCCGTTGACGTCAAGCTGATCAAGCGATGATGATGAGAAAACGGAGAAAACCAATGCCCTTCCCAGCCTGCTTGCTCCCCTATCGAACGAGGAGGGCAGGGGCAGGACAAACCTTGACGGCGGCGCCCGGTTCATATTGATAATTTCAGCACTCGTATATGTGTGTGTGTGTGTGAGTACATAGAGCTGGAATCGACCACGCCTGCCTGTGCCTGCCGCCGGTCACCCGTCCCCGGGATCGGCAAGGTTGTTTTCCATCTGTGAGGTTTGTTTACATTCGGTGGATTAATAATTAAACTGATAACACCAGAAGGGGTTCGACGACGGCGACGACGACGACGACGACGCCGCGCTTTATTATTGAACAAAATCTGCGTAAATATTTGCTTCCTAATGCCGCTGCCGCGGATGGTGGTAGCTGGATCTCGCCAGTAGAAACTCCCTAATCAAGCTGGTTTTAATCAATCGGAAGTGATTACCTAAAAATTCAATCCCATGACGCATGTTGTAGTCCGCCTTGACGATCACACTGTACCAATTGGCGGTGGTGGCCTCCTCCTTTTCGGAGTCATTATCATTCTCCGATGGGGCAGTGTCCTTGGACGAAACGTTCAGATAGTAGACTCCGGCCGTGGAAGTGTTAACCCGGCTGACTATGAAGAGATAATCCTGAACGGTGACGGCGGGTGCTGGCGAATGGTTGAGGTGGTGTAGGTCGGTGCGGTTCGTGGCGATGATCGCCGGCTTTGGAATGGGTGAAGGCTTTGAGAGGAGTGGATTGATGCCGTGGATGTCCTGGGAGACGGTGTTGTGGAGCAGGTCAATGATGTAGCCTGTGGGGTGAATGAAATTTATGGAATTATTTATTTTGAAGGTATTAAATGTGATTAAAATTTGGGATTTTTATTTTCAGTGAGTAATTTTGTTCTTGTTTGTGGATGACAGAATCATCTTAGTGAGAGGACGCCAATTGCTGTCGATTTTAGAAGCAGTCAGAATTAGAGAGGGTCCAGTATAAGAGAGGAGCGGATTCAAAATAAACTGCCTTGGCAACCTATGCCTAGGTGATTTCTAGCAACACTGCCAATGCAATCAAGAGAGGCGCTGCTCGATTGGCTCTGGTCCGCTCCTCTCTTATACTAGACCCTCTCTAGTCAGAATCTCGCTGTAGGAAGCTTGATACGTTTGTAGCACGAGCGATACAAATCGGATTGATCAGGAAACAGGTGACAGGAGTTTGGTACCCAAAAGAACGAAAGCCGACGAGCTGACACACCAAACCCAAGCTGAAAATCTACATAAGAACGATAAAGACGAGATGGATAAAATTATGTATATTTCCGATTCCGACGAGGTAAAAGTTCAAGAGCAAGCCCCTCCTTGACTTCCAATCCGTCATTTCGGAACTTGACTTTTCATCGGACGAGAATATGCAAAACGATCAGGACGTGTCCATGTTCCGATAGTCCTGTACTCTGCAACACCGCAAACCAATCTCAACGCACTCATGGCTACATCACCAAACCATAAGAGTAGCAGAGAGAACACGAACCACCCAAACCAGGACACCAATAAACATGACCTAGGACAGACATACCTACAAGAACAACCTAGCAACTCGGATAAGGCCTCGGGCAGCCAGGGCCCCACCAGTGTGGAATTTTTCGGCCAACCGGAACTGGTTAACCCCCCGGTGCTTGTTGGCAACCTCCGTTGACTACACTTTGAACACGACTCGACCCACCTTCCCAGTGGAGCAGTCGAGGCCCCACCGGTGCGGACGTCTTTGCCTCATCGGGACTGGTGGACAACCCTCTACTCTCCGCTGCGGCTGGAAGAGGGACGGACAAGGGAGTATGCTCCCATTCCCCTGTGGACGACGAGGGCTTCAAGATTTCAGTTAAGTACCAGGACCACGTGAGACTTAAGGATGGCGAGCTGTGCATCAACGGTAAACTTTCCCTACCCCCACTCCAGAACGAATTAGGTGAACATAACCACCGGTCTAATCAGTCGGCTCGGTCATCTCTGCTGGCAGCTGGGTCAACTCTGACTGCTTCTGCAGGTGGAGATTTGCCGGGGTTCACCATTTCTACACTCGGGTCGCGTGATAACCTCACTCTCTCCCGGAAGGACTCCGAGGGATGCAAGATCAGCGAACGAAATAATATTGGGTCGAGCGATAACTTCGCTTTCCCCCACCTGGACATCGTGGGAGGCAAGGTACCGCAGCAGAAGGGGTCGCATGATAATTTCATACTACCCCCCGTCGGATCACAGGACACTGGCACCGGATAAGGCCTCGGCCGCTCGGACTCACGAAGATACGACCAGTGGAGGGCTAGTCTGGGTGACTTCTCCGTAGCATCAGCAGGTCCTTCACTCGCCCCGTCCCATTACCCAGCGGCTCCGGTATCTCTGCCGACAGCGGGGTCACCACAAACTGCTTCTACCGGTGGAGCTCTACTGGGGTTCGCTTCCAAGCTGAAAGCACCGACATCAATATCAGCCAGATCACGAAGCAAGAAGGCTAGCCCATTGCATGCAAGTTCCTCTTTGATGCCTACCTCCGGTATGCGTCGACTGCCCAGAGCCAATCGCCTCCGGCCAATATTTCGCCAAGAGATGATTACTCCTCGGATTAATTATCACCTATCACGCGACACCCAACTTTCGGAAGCCCCAGAGGGTCTACCTTGGCAATCCAATGGAACATGAATGGCTTCTATAATAACCTTTCGAACCTAGAAATTCTAGTGCGAGACAGCAAGCCCACCATCCTGGCAATCCAGGAGATCCACCGGGCTAGTGCCGGTAAGATGAACCGAGCTCTTGGGAGTCAATATCAATGGATCCTTAGGAGGAACGAAAACATTTATCACTCTGCGGCAATTGGAGTGCTAGCCTCGATACCTTTCACATCAAATCAGTTAGACACAGATCTTCCAATCGTGGTGATCCGTTGTCTTGGTGTATCTTCCGTGTGGAAAAATACCAGATCTTAGAATCCAACTATCAAATATAGTCCAGAGCGTCGAGGGTCCCATCCTGGTACTAGGGGACATGAACGGCCACCATCCCGCTTATGGCAGTGCAATTGCAAATACCAGAGGCTCCACTCTGATGGAAGTGGCCAGAAAACTTGATCTTGTCGTTCTCAATGATGGAGGCACCACATATACCAGTGGTCAGAGAGCAACACCTATAGATGTGTCCCTTGCTAGCGCCAACATAATCAACAGACTCCTCTGGAGCACCGAGGAAGATCCCATTGGTAGTGATCATCACCCGGTGGTAATTTGACTTGACGACCAGCCACAAGACATCTCACGTAGACCGCGTTGGAGGTATGAGTTGGCTGACTGGTCACATTTCCAGGAGACTATTAGAGTTAATTTTACCAACTCTACACCGGACAATATCCAGCTCTGTCTACCAAGTGGTGGTCTCCTGAGACAAAAGCTGTTGTTAAGGCCAGAAGGAAGGCTTTAAGGGCAGCTAAACGACTGCCCGCGGACCACCCCTTGAAGGAAGCGGCGCAAACTGCATACAGAACTAAACGGAACGAGTGTAGACAGACCATCCGCACCGCCAGAAGCTTGAGCTGGGAGAATTTCCTCGACGGTATTAACGCTGGTATTAATTCCAGACTGACCTGCGGTTTAGAACTGACTTGCCTGGCTGCTGATAGGTAGATTTCCAAACTGGCTCAAGTGTATTATCAGGCAATTAGGGTCACATCAGGTCTCCTCCCATCCACCCCCAGGTTGGCAGCCTGCGTGGAGAGTGGAAGGCTGCCTTTTGAAAAGTACATTGTCGCATCTGTTTGCAAGAAAGCGATTGGCTTTGCAGAAAAGACTACAGGGACAAGTGACGGAGTGTCCCTCCTCATGGAAGCGAACGATCTCCTGAATAATACCGCCAACCTGGAGCTCCCCCCTTTAGCCAGGTTAGTTTATGGTTTGACAACGAAAAATGCTATGTTCATATTGGAAATAAAAACTACAAGGGACAGCCCTATGGGGTTGTACGCAATGGTGACGTAGGACTACGTGGTCTTATATAATAAACTTTATTTGTTAACTGCAGCAGGAGCTTGTTTTTTTTGTAGGAATAGAAATTTGAGCGGAGTTCTCTCTGTTTATACTCTTTAGTGTGACTATGATTGCCCTGAAAAGAACCTTTTGATATGAATTTTAGTTGGGACATGTTCAGAAATTTAACTCTTTTGGAAAATCTTGGTGGCCAACCACTCTTTTGAAGATTAATTTGTGGCCCTAAAAAGGACCGTTTGTTGTAAATTTAATCAGCGATTCAACCGGTTCAGATGTGGCAGGTGAGCAGAAACGAGCGGCAAGTTGAAGGTAACAAACAGTTTGTTATCAAGTACCCGAATTTTCCGGTCCATGAATAGTTTGCTGTTTCTCCGCTTTCTCTGGCGAGTTCGGCTAGTCTTCTGCTTCTGGTCGTACACCAAATCCTTTATTAGAACATAAATTTGCTGCTTGCAATTTCAGGAACCAGAGTGGCAATTTGATGCCTGGAATTACAGGAACTAGAATTGAAAGGAGCACGGCTCCCTGTCGAACGGCGAGTCATAGTTGTCGTCTTCAAAATTTTGAAGATAATAAATAATGGCGATGAAATGTGATTCACCTGAGAGATGCAAAGATACTGCAGGGAAGGCCTGTGATGCGATTCAATAAATAATACGGCACTGGACATCAAACGAAGCACTAGATGCTAACGACACGACCAAATGGGAGGAGCTTCGGTCTGCTACTGTACGGACGAAAGTAACAATTAAGGGCTGAATAATTATTTTTCGAAAGCTAGAAAATCATGCCCCACCCATTTTGGCTATTTTATCATACACTTCATCTGCTGTGCCTTTCTACACTAAATTATGCGTTGTATAGAAACAGCTAGTAAAATATCAGTGCACACCCAGCTAAAGCTCCTCCTCTGTTTAGATTTTCTCGTTCAACTCCTTCTCTCAACAAGTTGGTAAATCTTAGCCTTTAGCAGAAAGACGCTTAACACTTTTTTGGCGAATTTTTGACCCTGATTCTTCTCTGTGCCAGTTCAGATAAGTTAGTTTTTTATTTTTTTTCTCCACTGGAAATCATTGGACTTTTAAGCATCCCTAGAAAATAGTGTAATTTCATATTTTTTTTGTGGTCCTTCGACAATGTCGAGCAGCAGAATTGCAACCAGCAAGTGTAACCCAAGAACCAGAAGCAGAAGGGTGAAAGTCAATTCTCTTCATAACCTATTTTGCACTATTTCTGCTATGCTTTTCTATCATCCAGAACAACAAACGTATCAATGAATGTGTTTGCCGTCGAGCTATTAACTAAACAGAAAGTCGATGAAAAGAATCGATCAAAATCACTTTCACCCCTGCTTCCAAGTTTGGTTACAAGATTACAACTCTGGAGAGCATTTTGTGTCTAGAAACGATTCTCTGACATGTCTCTCTGTCATGTTTCGTCTAGAATTTATTATCTGATGACTGTGTTGGGGATCATGTACTTAAGTAATAGGTAGATTTGTTGGTTATTCTGACGCTTTTGAACAATGCATAACATTTGCCACTGTTTAAATAGTTTCTTTATATTTAAAATTTAACAGTTGAAAGCATTGTTACCGATGCGTAGAAATATGTTTGATCGATTGGCGATAACATTATTGTAATTGGTCCAGGGGCAGCTGAGTTATTAACGTTCAAAATCTTTCATAATTTCGTTAAATGTTCCATTTTTGGTTTTCACAAAGTGTACCCCCATATAGAAACCACAGACGTAGTCCTACGTCAAAAAAAACATGAAAA